ACGTGGACAGCGGAGAAGATGACAACACCGGAGAGGACGAGAACACCGGAGAGAGGGACAATGCGCAGGATGGAACCAAAGTGGGTCCTGGCAGACCTAAACTAATCCGCACGGGCAAACCTGGACGCCCACGGAAGCAATATAATGTCTTAGGAGCAGCAATCAACAGCGACGTGTATATTCCGGTGAGCTACGACGAAGCAATTAGATGTCCAGATTCAGAATTATGGTTGGAGGCAATGAATCGAGAGTACAAGGCTCTTATGAACAACCATACATGGCAGATAGTAGATCTTCCTAAAACAGAACGCGTTATTGGCTGCAAATGGGTTTTCACTGTGAAGAGGGATGCCAACGGACAAGTACAGCGATATAAGGCACGACTAGTAGCCAAGGGTTGCTCGCAGCAGTATGGAATTAATTACTTTGACACTTTTTCACCTGTCTGTCGAATGGAAAGCATTCGTTTCATACTTGCCCTGGCAGCACAGTTAAAATTATATTTGCACCAGATGGATGTCTGTACAGCTTATCTGAATAGCGATTTATCAGACGTTGTTTACATGAAACAGCCAAGCGGATTTGTAGCCAAAGATCATGCGGACGGCGTGCTCTTGCTAAAGAAGGCAATATATGGCCTTAAACAGTCTGGCAGAGAATGGAACTCTAAATTGGATGGAGTTCTGCGTAGCATTGGCTTTAATCCATGTAAAAACGAGCCTTGTCTATACATGAACAGAAGTGGACCGCATCTCGCACTTATTCTTGTATACGTCGACGACCTGATCATAGCTTGCCAAGATAAAAGTGATCTCATGAGCATCAAAAGCAAAATAGCTCAATCTTTCGAATGCGTTGATCACGGGCAGTTGCACCTGTTTCTTGGTATGGAAGTTCAACGAGAAGGTGAACTAGGCGAGATAATGCTGAGTCAAAGCCAATATATTGAGAATCTACTTCAGCGGCACGGCATTAAGGAGTGTAGAGCAGCTGCAACTCCACTGGATGCAGGATTCCAGATCACATGCGACAAAGAGGGATGCGAAATTGTCAACGAGAAGGCTTATCAAGCGGTCATAGGTGAACTGATGTGGTTGGCGCTTTCATCAAGGCCAGACATTCTACATTCTGTATCTAAACTGGCGCAGCGCAACAAGAATCCCCACACTGAGCATTGGACAGGAGTAAAACACATACTCAGATATTTGGCATCGACAAAAGACCTAAAATTGCATTACAAGATTTGCAATGAGCCTTTAAGTGGATATGTGGATGCTGACTGGGGAGGCGACAAAACAGATAGGAAGTCATACACAGGATACCTTTTCTATCTAGCTAGAGGACCGATATCCTGGAAATCTGAAAAGCAACGCAGCGTAGCCCTCAGTAGTACGGAAGCGGAATACATGGCGTTATCATCCGCATGCAAGGAGGCGATTTCAATAAGAAGACTTATATTGGAAATCGGTTGCGGCGAGTCTGAAACATCAACAGTTATGCATACCGACAATTTAAGCGCTCAACAATTGGCTAAGAATCCTGTACATCACTCGAGGTCGAAACACATTGACATCAGATACCACTTTGTAAGAGATGTAATTAAGGAAGGGCAAATTATGTTAAAGTATCTATCAACAAACCAGATGATTGCAGACATATTAACGAAGAACCTTCAGAAACAAAAGCATTGTGAGCTTACTAAAAAGTTAAGTTTGTATTAAAAAATTATGATATGTAAGCTTACATTGAGGAAGGGTATTAAAACTATTGGAACAATGTAATCTCTAATCCTATAATATGTATCGATAGTTTTAGTTTGCAGTCTCCAGAAGTATCGAATAAAAACTTCATTCCTTTTCTTGTTTACTCAACCTACCGGACGTGTGTTTTTCCACTAAAGCAAATATAACACCAATAAGGAATTTGTACCGTCGCGTCTCTTTTCTTTTCTTTTTAGAAGTTGCACGTGTTTTCAACGGTAAGTGTTAAATTTAAATTGATTAATATGTACAATCCCTTACTAATTTACTAATAGTGAGTAAATATATATTTATTTATTTAAATTTATTCGGCAATGCTGGTTAGACGTAATTTCCATCCATCAGAGGTAAGTATATTTTTCGTATATTTTTAAATACTTATATACTTATAATAATATATGTTTTTACAGCCGCTTTTAAGAACAAATTTGCGTTAGAGGTCGCAGATTTTGACACAAAAATCAGTATGAACAGGACTGTTTGTATTAGTAGTAAATATTATTAGTTTTAGGAAAAAAAAACAAGTCTTAAGTTTATTGTTTACTTTTTAAGTTAAATAAAGATAAATAACAAATATAGATAAACATAAATAAATGTATGTTTCATTTACATTAAAATAAAACTGAAATTCTAAAAAAATTGGAAATAGATATCAAAATTGAATCTGAAACGTATTGTCAAAAGACCGCAAACGGTACTTATTCGGAAATCGTCAAAGGTCCGCAAACAGTACTTTATCGGGTATCGCCACAGGTCCGCTAACGGTACTTTTTCGGGTTCCGAAAATAATATCTTTTGCTGGCCCAACCCCCATTACAGGTCATTAACTTTATTATCGTTATTGAGTCAGAAATCGGACGTTTTGTCCCCCTGAGATCCGCAAAACTTCCGTTTGTAATATTTTGAACGAAGTTTTTGTCTGCTGGGTATATTTTAATGTGGGCGACTAAATACATATGTATAAGGGCATGTGTTGGCACAGTGGAAATTAGATAATTGGACTGTATGGAGGACGGGAAGTTTGTGTCACCAAAAAAACGAAGCAAACGATCAAGGCAGCGGTAGAAAAATTCGGCAAAATGAACGCACCCGGGAAAGTTCACCACCGTTGGCCGATATATTATGCTTCTTTTTATTTTTTTAACGCACAATTTGACATTTCAGGAAGAGAATTTTCGGCGAAACCGTATAGTCAGATGTACAAAAATGAATTTAAATTCCCATTTGCTGTTGTGTCGGAAAAACTCGGACGTGGAGTTGACTCGGAAAAAAACGAATCTTACAGCAGTGTGAGCGAATCTTACAGCACGCTCACTGTTCTTAGCATGAGGAGGACGATCTTGTTGTGACTTAGCTCTGCATTCAAACGCCTTATGGCCCACCTTTCCACAGAAATATAACTTTATTATTAAAAAATGCATTCTAGCTTTTTACGTCACGTGGCGGTGCTTGTAGTTAATTCTTCTTCCTGGTGTTGAACGTAAATGCTTTCAACTCGCTTTGCGAGTTCACTTATAGTATACACATTCGAAGTAAGTGTCAAGCGTTGCAATGACGGCATCGTCATTATGAGCATTCTTAGCAAGTGTTACGGAAACTGCAAATTCATCCGTTTTCATGTCACGTCATTTACTGATGAGTAACGTCAATGTGTGGCTCGCAAAGCTTAAAAAGGCATTCCCCATCAGCCGGAGAGTTCGCCCACGCAGAGTTTTTTTTTTTAATTTGGGCCAAGATATTTCGGTAAGCTACATCGGCTTACTGCCACCATCTCTGTACCTAACGCCATCACATCAACGTCTTACCTTTTATGGAATTTTCTGCCAAAATTATATATACTGTTGAACTCCAAAAGGACTCGTCGACACCAAGAAGGGTGCATAGGATGTTTGGTAGTGCGTGTTGAACTCAAAATGACTCGTCGACACCAAAAAGGGTGCATTGGATGTTTGATAGTGTTTTTTTTTTTTTTTTGTTGCTTAAGTTGTTGCTGTTTGTATGCCTTTAACAAGCTCAATCTAATATTTATAATGTACCCCATTAAAATTTGCAATGGCCCGTCGGCGTTTTTAGCTAGCGAGCCAAAATCAAACCTTTTTTTTTACTTTTGTCCTGCATAATTATGCATTGGATTTTTGGTATTGGGTTTTTATACCCTTGCAGGGTATTATAATTTCAGTCAGAAGTTAGCAAATTTCAGAATTTTGGTATAAATATTATGAAAATCGGACAACAATATCATATAGCTGCCAAATAAGCGATCGGTAAATGTAAAAAAAATGTAAAGCTAGGAATGTGAAACTGTAACTGTCAACCTGTAAAAATAATAAGTATAGGTAACATGTTTTTTTTTTTTTTTCTTACTTATGTTTTTGCTGTTTGCCTTTAACATGCTCAATCTAATTTTTATAATGCATCCCCATTAAAATTCGCAATGGCCCATCGGCGTTGTTAGCTAGCGAATCAAGTCAATCTTTTTTTTTTTACTTTTGTCCTCCAGAAAGATTTGTTTGCAACTGACTTCCAACGCTGTAACGACGCACAGTAGCGCCTTTTCTCATTTAGCGTTGCAAAAATCATATCTTTTGAACCAAATAAGGTATTCGAATAATTTAAACGGCATTGGACAGGTAATTGTTGTAAAATGTATATATGTACTGCATAAAGTACCACGCCCACAAATACGCCTTTTTAAAGGGTATCAAAGTGAAAAAATAATTTTTTTTCAATGAAAACAATTTTTAAACAAAAATTTTATTTAATTTTTTATGTTTATTTTTATGTATGTGCTCAAACAAAAATAATTTGAAAACTGAAAAAAAATTTTTTTTTATTTATTTATTTATTTAATGCTAACTAATAGTTATAAACTAAAAGTTAACAAAGGATAATGAGCAATGGCTACCGAGGCCTTCCGCTCTAAAATTTTTTTTTTTTTTTTTTTTTTTTTTTTTTAAATTCGAAGTGTAACCGCCACGCGCTACAGTTAGTATATTTCTTGAAATGTATGAAATTGTGTCGGTATTTTGGTATATTTTACCCTGAGTTGTTTTGGTTTTTTGCGTTGCATTTCCGCAGACGCAGCTCGACGCAGCCCGATGAAAGTTAATTCTGATCCAGGAAAGATCCACGGAACTTGTAGTCATAGTGTAGTCAGTGGCTTTCATTGGCGTCAGAAGATATAGACTACTTTAGGCAGAAAAAGGTGAAAAAAATGGACACCTGGCAGGTAGCGATTTACCTGTAGAAGCCCAAACCAAAGTGTCGTTTTTTTTTAGGTTTGTAGCTGTCGGGGGCCGTGGCAAGTACAATTCCAGATTCCCAATAAAAGTAGGCAGAGTTTTAAGAGGATGATGAGGAGGACGATCCGTCTTCTTTGGAGTTTATTTTCAGAGTGGTAAAAGAGAGGCACAACTAATATGGCGACAGGTACATTTTCCCCAGTGATGCTCCCCTGGCGATATTGCCCCTTGTTCAGCATGAACATTCTCCCCCCCTCGCAAGAGGAATACTTGCGATCTACGAAAGGGAACACCGTCCGGAGAGGATGCTAACCCTCGTGCACGCCAGGATAGGCGTGCACGACCGGCTGCGGGATGGAGACATATCCATTGGCGTGGCGGGCCGCCGAGGTCCGGATACAGGCGCCTGCTGTGGCTGCCGCTGAGGCCGAGAATCCGAGGGTGGGTTGCGCCTTTGTCGGGGCCGCGAAGAGCGAGGCTGCCCAGTGTGGAGGTGCAGCAGCGTGTGATGAGCCTCCTTTCCAGACTGTTCGCGCAGTACTGGTTAATTAGTACCGCGCGGAGCCGCTTCACAGCCGGCAGTTGGAGAAACCGTTAGCAAACCCTCAGAGCGTGGACTCTCCTGCAGACTCGACATCTGTATATATTGCTCCCGGATGAGCGACGAGGATTTCGATGGGTCGTTGGAGCCATTGTACACGGATCTACGTTAAAACAGAGAGATGGATAAATATGAAAATGAAGTGTTATGGATGAGGATGAACAAGACACGTGGACGGAACGACGACGTTGGATGACACAACTTAGGACTAGTAAATGTCAATTGGAAGGACTAATCTATTGAGGAGTCACTATGGTCAATGGGGCCGTCCTTTGGGAGGCGAATAATTTCCGCAGCTGGTCGTCGGATGACGCCCCGTGTTGTGGCTGTCGAAGGTAGAAAACCGCTCCAGGCGGGGTATGGATATGGACCTGACTAGAGCAACTCTGGCTTTGGATGTCAGCCGATGGGTACAACAGCCATCAGTCGTTTCGACTCGGATGAAGATGGCAGCCCCATACGCGTCCTGGTACTGCAATTTGGCTGCAGAATGGAAACGCACCCATGTCGGACTACAAATTTCCCTCAGGATTGGATACCCTTTTACGAACTCTTGCCACTGGGTTACGAGGTCGGTGGGGAGTGGTTGATCCCAGCCCGGGTCGAAGAGCTTGGCTATCTGAGATACGACCTCTCGTTTGGTGTAGGTAGTTATCGCAGACTGCTGAGTGTGAGCCCCTGCGAGCACATCGTCGATGTACGTAGAGTTCGAGATGATGTCGCTGGCCAAAGGATATTGGCCTCGGATGTCCTGAGCCAACTGCTGTAACACTCTGATGGTCAGGAAGGTTTAAGCCGAAGGTGACTGCGTCGAGCTCATAGTCACAGAATAAGGATTCCCTGCGGAATAAGATTCTCCGTGAGCGCGTGTGATCAGGAGGATCGACCCGAATTTGCCGGTACATCTTGGTGATGTCCGCCCCAAACACATAGTTTAAAAAAACCCATTTTAGAATCTGACTAGTCAGATCGGAGTGTAGTACAGGCCCCGCATGAAGGATATCATTGAGGCTGTTCCCGTTTGATGAGGGATTGGAAGCGTTGCACACGACGCGAACCTTCGTCGTGGTGCTATCTGGATTAAAGACAGCGTGATGAAAACTGCTGGAGTCGTTTGGGGAGACTTGGTGCATATGACCTAAATCTGAATACTTTTGAATGACTGAGTCGCACTGCTCCTTCACTGGAAGGATTTTACTCAATCGCATTTCGTTTCGGAAGTACTGAGCTAGTGCGATGGGTCTGGAATGTCCCAGCTTAATATTGTCCGGCTCTTTAAAGGGCAACGAAACAACATATCTTCCATCCTCACTTCTTTTGGTGGATCGGATAAAGTTCTCCTCGCAAACCGAGGTGGATTCCTTTACTAACTTCACTGGAGCATCCTCCACCTCCCCAAATTTGGTGAGGATGCTGTCTGGTTTGGACTCGGTCACTGCTAATCGGGCTGAAAAGGAACAGATTCTGCTTATGGGACTCGTTGCAATAGGACCGCAAAGAGTCCACCCGAATATGGTCTCTTGACCAAGGAGTGTTCCACAAATATTGGAATGGGAGCCTCTGAGAATGATTGATGGCAGGATATCGGCACCAATAAGCACGTCAATCGGCGAGCTCCGGTAGAAATCTGGATCTGCTAGTTGCAGAGGTGGAAGATCCTTTAATGAATCCTCTGGTATAGTGTAGGATGGGAGATTCCCGGCTAACTGTGGTAGCACATACGCACAGGTTTCAATTTGGATATGGGGCTTGACGGGAGAACCTAGTTTGAATTGACAACGCTTACGGGGCTGAGCTGCAACGGAAAGGTTGACCCCTGAAACTTGCGCTTGGATGGACTCATAAGGCAACTTAATCAGGTTGAACAACCGTTCTGAGATAAAGGTTGCCTCGGAACCTGAGTCAATGAGAGCCCGTGCTGAGTATTTGATGCCCAAATGGCAAACTTCTATTATTGCCGTACTCAGGAGGACCCCTTGCGTGTTAACGGCAAGAAACGTTTGCACATTCGCTTGACCCGTCGATGGAGTGGACTGTATATGTTGCTGGATTGCTGTGGATGGATGGGACTGTTGGTCAGGCATAACCACTGAATGGACTGGCGGAGGGCCGCTTCGATGCAGGAGAGTATTGTGACGTCCACTGCAGGTGTAGCAATTATGCGTGCTGTTGCAGTCCCGGAGCAGATGCGTTCTAGCGAAGCAGTTCAAGCACAACTTCTGCTGTTTCACATGTCTCTCTCGATCTGCGACTGACATTCGCAAGAATAGAGGACATACACGGAGTGGATGGTTCTCTTGTGCACAGAGTTTACAGGATTGCGGGTTTACCGTAACTCTGTTTTCGAAGGTTTGGATCGACCGCGAGCTATTGTCAGCCCTCAGTGCCCTGGATTGAACGCTCGCGTTTGGCTTGAACTCCTCAATCGCCTCAAGCGTTCGATGACGATCTTTTAAGAAGGCCTGGAATTCAGCCCAGAGTGGAATCTCTGACTTACTTAGCAGGGACTGTTCCCAAAGAGCCAAAGTTAGTTTTGGCAACTTGGACGAGCACAGGAAAATAAGCAGGCAATCCCAATTCGTGGTCTCGACTCTTGCTAATTGCAGGGCCGTTAAACAACCTTGGATTGTGCTCTCTAAATGCTTCAAGGATTTTCCGCATTCCTGGGCAACAGAAGGCAAATTAAACAAGATCTTTAATTGGCTATTGACCAGCAGCCTCTTGTTCTCGAACCGATTCTGCAAGTTTCTCCACGCTGACTCAAAACCATCATTGGTCAACGGAGATAAGGCCACAATGGATTTGACCTCGCCGCTCGTCTTTGCATTGAGATGGAACAGTTTTTCGACTTCTGAAAGCCGAGGATTGCGTATATAGATGGCGGAGAAAAGGTCCCAAAATGTGGGCCATTGAACATAGTCACCATTGAAAACTTCGCACTCGACTGGAGGTAAGCGACATCCGCCCTGAGACGGCGTCAGATTGGAGGACTGAACAGACTGTTGTGCGCGTGAATCTGCAATGATCTCATTGAGGCTTGCTGCGCACCGCTCGTAAACGGTATAACAGTCGTCATACTTGGATTGCATGGCTGTTATTTTGTCTTTGCAGGTTTGAATGGCCACAACTTCGGAGCACGTCTCATATTCCTTTTCCACCTTGTCCCAGAGGGCCCTGATCTGCTCGAGTCGAACCCTACTCGTGTGGATGGACGGATTTGTGTCCGCATTGGTATTGATTCTGGCTTCAAACTGACTCACCCTATCGGTTATGGTCGTGAATTTCCTCAAGGCCTTGTCTCCCTCAGCTTGAGCCATTCTGCCACTTGCTCTAGTGAAGTGGGGAGATACGACTGACTTTGCGGCTTTTGTGGATGGTGCAGACCGTGGAACTTCAGGCGACGTGCTCGTAGATCCTAGTGGAGTTGCGGTTGTCAATGGGCCTTTGCTGCGAGAGGGATTTTCGCTTTTGGAAGGCACAGTAGATTCACTCTTTGCCCTGACTCTGTGAGACTCTTTTGCCTTACAAACGGTCAAAAGGGATTTTGGTTCCTCACCGTCACCAATTGGCATATGAAGCTCTCGTAGGAGGCGGAAAATGTAAGTGTGTGAGGTAGTCTATCGACTTTGACGTGGTTCGGAGAGCGGCCGCTGGATAAGCGCAAAAAAAAACAGTCAATCGAAAAAATGTTATCGATTTCAATTAGTACGGGGACGCTGGATGAAGCGTTCAAAATTTATGGTTATCGATTTTAAATCAATACAGGGACGCTGGATAAAGCGTTCAAAATGGTTATCGATTTGAAGGATAAGGGGGCGCTGGATGGCGCGTTGACACGAATGTACTCGGTTCAAAAGATATGGGGGCGCTGGATAACGCGTAGAACAAATTAATGGAAAAAATACTCTCGATTTCCAATTGATACGGGGACGCTGGATGACGCGTTGGCACGGATGAACTCGATTCAAAGATATGGGGGCGCTGGATAACGCGTTGGCACGGATGTACTCGGTTTAAAAGATATGGGGGCGCTGGATAACGCGTAGGAAAACAGAGTTAATCGAAAAAATTATATTTATCGATTTGAAAGAGGTGCAGGGGCGCTGGATAAGCGTAAATAAACAAATAATACTCGAAAAGGTTGTCTCGATTTTAAATCAATACAGGGACGCTGGATAAGCGCAGGAAAACAGAGTTAATCGAAAAAATTATATTTATCGATTTGAAAGAGAACAGAGAAAAAATATGTAGAATCAATTATTCGGGGACAAATAAATGTTTGTCGAAAAAATACTGTGGGGTTGGAAAGTGAAGACAAAAGGATAAATCGAAAATGTATGCTTATCGCCTTTTAAGATATGCTTGGACGCTGGATAATGCGTACCAAAAAAAAACATCGGAACGGTGTACACTATTTGGAAAAATGAGGTTGTAAATTAGTCGAATTGAAACTCAAAAACCAATAATGCAAAAAAAATGCACCCAAGTGTGAACGGCTCATTAACAGACGCGTATGGTAATAGCGTCGCAACCTTGGCGGCCAGTACTTACATACATATGTATTTACGCAAAATAAACAAATAAACAACTATTAAAAACGCAGATTTTTTAATTTTGTTTGTTTCACTTGGTTTTGTGTTCGAATGCAGCGAAACTGATACCCGCCGAGTCTCAATTGCCGGTCCGGCAAATTTGCATGAATATGTGCATATATGTATGTATTTATATGCACGTATGATCGGCCAGCTGGAGGAGGGGGTTAACTTTATTTATCTTTTGTTTTGTTATTGTGGATGCAGTGGATGGAAAATATGTACATATGTATATTTGTGGTGGATGGAATATGATCTTTATTTATTTTTTCTCTTCTAAATGCCGCCGATTTGTGAACCAAAGGTGATCTACATATGTATGTTCATAAATCGGCAATGTTCGTACATACCTATGTGCGTATGCAAATTGTGTAAGTATGTACGTACATATACTACGGAATCGGTGTGGATGTATGGTTTTTTATGTATGGAAAAAAAAACTGGATGTAAACCTTTTCGGATATTGGCTGATTTAGAAAATAGGAAAGGGGCATATAGCCATGTAAACACATGCATACATATATATACATATACTACTGCCCAAGTTGGTAGTGTTTTAAATAAATTGGATGCAGCAGTATATCTACATATATATGCATGTATGTACATACATATATGATGGGAATTTCGGCACCGTACTTATCTTGGCAAAAAAGGCGCTGGAATATCCGGCTCGAAGGACCAAAAATGTAGCTGTCGGGGGCCGTGGCAAGTACAATTCCAGATTCCCAATAAAAGTAGGCAGAGTTTTAAGAGGATGATGAGGAGGACGATCCGTCTTCTTTGGAGTTTATTTTCAGAGTGGTAAAAGAGAGGCACAACTAATATGGCGACAGGTACATTTTCCCCATTGATGCTCCCCTGGCGATATTGCCCCTTGTTCAGCATGAACAAGGTTCTTTAATAGTTTATGAATGTATCTATCATTTAAAGTAAAAACCATGACCATTGGTTTTATGGTTTTTTTGTAATATTACCTGAAAGTCGACCAATTTACACATTTTTTTTGCATGATTCAAAATACGAAACAAAGTTCAACTTTAAATGCTCATAACTTCTACAAAAAAAATCTTAAAATTGATTTTATTGCAGATTCTGAATCCTTGTTAAATTTCCTGTCGAATAAGTATGGTTAAAATCGTTTTTGCGAACATGACTTTTTTGATTTTTGCAACGCTAATTGTTCGAGCGGCGCTACTGTGCGACGCTAGAACTATTCTTTCCGATTATATAGCTACCATTCTACCGGGAAAACTTTTACAGGTACAAAAGGTAACCATTGCAATGGGCTTATGATACTCTAAAGCAGTATTCATGAATCAGAAAACATATTATTATACCCTTGCAGGGTATCATAATTTCAGTCAGAAGTTTGCAACGCAGTGGAGACGTTTCCGACCCCATAAAGTATATATATTCTTGATCAGCATCAACAGCCGAGTCGATCTAGCCATGTCCGTCTGTCCGTTTCTACGCAAACTAGTCCCTCAGTTTTAAAGCTATCTGAATGAAACTTTGCATATAGTCTTCTATATACTCTCACTGCTATATATGTCGGAACGGGCCGGATCGGACGACTGTATCATATAGCTGCCATACAAATGTTCGATAAATTTTCAGAAAAAAATTATAACTTGGGTGTTTTTCAATATTTTTGCATCATTTTTGAGATATAGCCATTTTATATTATTCCAGAATTTTGGTAAAAATTTTATGAAAATCGGACGACTATATCTTATAGCTGCCATAGGAACGATCAAGAAATGGGAAAAAAAAAAAAATTATAACTTCGTTGTTTTTCAACGTATTTTCATCTACTCTGAGATATAAGCTTTTTTTATTATTTCAGAATTTCGGTAAAGATTTTATGAAAATCGGACGACTTTATCTTATAGCTGCTATAGGAACGATAGGGAAAGTAATAGAAAAAATTATAACTTCGTTGTTTTTCAATGTATTTTCATCTTCTTTGAGACATGAGCTTCTGGTATTATTTTAGAATTTTGGTAACAATATTATGGAAATCGGACAACTATATCATATAGCTGCCATAGAAGCGATCCGTAGATGTAGAGAAAATGTAAAGCTGGGAATGTAAAACTGTAACTGTCAAACTGTAAACATAATAAATGTAGGTAAAATGTTATGAAACTCTGTTTAGTATCTGTTTTCGGCATTATAATTTATAATATAATTATCAAAACCAATCTGCAAGGGTATACAAACTTCGGCGGGCCGAAGTTAACTTCCTTTCTTGTTTTTCTACATTTTAACGATTTTTATACCCTTGCAGGGTTTTATAATTTCAGTCAGAAGTTTGCAATGCAGTGAAGGAGACCTTTCCGACCCTATAAAGTATATATATTCTTGATTAGCATCGACAGCCGAGTCGATCTAGCCATTTCCGTCTGTCCGTCTGTCCGTTCTACGCAAACTAGTCCCTCAGTTTTGAAGCTGAATGATCTGAATGAAACTTTGCATATAGTCTTCTATATACTCTCACTGCTATATATGTCGGAACAGGCCGGATCGGACGATTTTATCATATAGCTGCCATAAAAATTTTCGATAAATGTATAGAAAAATAATTATAACTTGGATGAAAATGTAAGGCTGGGAATGTAAAACTGTAACTGTCAAACTGTAAACTTAATAAGTTTAGGTAAAATATAATGAAACTCTGTTTTGTGTGTGTTTTAAGCATTTAAATTTATAATATAAATATCAAAACCAATCTGCAAGGGTATACAAACTTCGGCAAGCCGAAGTTAGCTTCCTTTCTTGTTTCAGCAAATATTTGCAAAAAAAAAAAAAAAGGAAATTCGTACTGTGAGACCATTGTGGCAACTCGTATTTTTATGTAGGTGTATAGATTTTCTCAGCTAATCCTTAAGAAGTATCATTAAAACTGCCGTATGGTCATCCTTTTAGCACATAGGTAAAACCCTATGGTGCTGTCAAATCTTTAATGAAACCTCTAATTAATGCAGTAGTGTCATAACCTTATAACCAGTATGGTGAAATTGCATTTGTATGAGAGTGTGTGAATGAGTAAGTAGGCTATTTTCAGAATAAGAATTTCTCAGCTTACTGGCTATAAGGTTGTGCCACTACTGCATTATTTTAATGTATCAGTAGTAATAATTTTGGGCTTACATTCAACAGAAAATATAATTCTTGAATTTTATTCATATATATAAACCCCACTTATATCTATGGTCGCAATTATTTTTCGATTTTGTAATTAAGAATCAGTTTTTAGAGTAAAAATATACCATTTAAAATATTTCATAATATTGTAGAGAACTAGTCATTTTATTGTAAGAACTTGGTTTTACGTGGATGTATCTTTCCTCTATAAACAGTTAATCAAATCAATTTTAGAGACAGTACCTTAATTTATTTTATTTTCAGATTTTATATTTTTCATAATTATTATCATAAATGTTAAATGGCTGCTATCCAGATCTCGAAAAACATAGTAATCATCCAAATGAAATCTTCTCCTATTGCTGGTTATTGGGGTTCATTTGCCCGTTGACGATCGGTAAAAAATATGCATGAGCCATAGCTTCACGAGCTGTGAGTCGGTCAACATGATCATAACGTAATAGTTTATCAAGAAAGTCTAGTGCCTCGGGAGAAACTAGATGTTGGTTATCAGAATGAACAAATCTTTCCCATCGCTTTCGTGAATGTCTTTGCAGAATGTCGTGAAATCGTGGATCTAGGTCTATATTGTATTTATCTAAATAAGCGTAGAGCTCTTCGGTGCCCAGCACCTTGGCAATGCGTACCAATTGATCGTAGTTGTCATGACCATGGAAGAACGGCTCTTTCCGAAATATCATAGACGCCAACATACAGCCTAATGACCACATATCTAGTGAATAGTCGTACATCTGGTAATCTACCAGTAACTCGGGTCCTTTAAAATACCGCGATGCAACGCGAACATTATACTCTTGACCGGGATGATAAAATTCAGCAAGGCCCCAATCAATAAGACGTAGTTTACGGTTTTCATGATCGATCATTACATTATGAGGCTTGACATCGCGATGCATTATTCCCATGCTGTGGCAGTAGTCAAGAGCCTTTAAAAGCTCGAACAAATAGTAGCGAATCTCATAATCAGTTAATGTTTGGTAAAGTTGTTTGAAGTCCGTGTTATTTACGTGTTCAAAAATTAAAGCCGGTGTCCGAGACACTGGATCCTTGACAACAGCTAGCAGAGTTATAATATTAGTTCCACCACGCAAATTCTCCAAAATCTTAATTTCCCTCTTAATCTTCTTCTTTTTTACGGGTTTTAAAATTTTAACCACACACTTTTCTGTGGTAGTAATATTAATAGCCTCGAACACCTCAGAAT